AGTTGATGTACACTCATTTGAAAATTAAGTCTGTGTCGATGAAAAAAATGAAAGAGATTACAGGACGCTTTGGTGCCGTCGGTGCTATTCGCTCTCCAGGATGTAGACCACGTGACCCCACTGCGCGTGGTTGAAGACACTACAAGATATGGCTGCTAACCGATGCCAGTGACGTTCTTGTTGTCAGTTTCTATCCGGATTGTCTGAATGTGTCTGGAGTAAGGTAGCACTAAGTCCCTTCCCTGTCCACCTGCATTCTTATTTTCACAATGAAACTTTCAAATCATAGTTGTACGGCAGGGAAGCATCAGTGTTGAACACTGATGTCGTGCTGTCCATGATAGTGATGATGTCAACGGGAAACGAAGCTGAATCCCTCGTTTATATTGTTCAGCTGAGTGTCAGGGCAGTTTTCGTCCTTTAAGTGAAGCCAATCTCCGCTGAAAAAGCCGAGATGCATTTCACCATTCATCCTCATTGAGAACCATCAGCAGTGTATATCTCACAAAACTGCAGACGGTCTCGAACACACGACCTCCCGGATACAAGTTTGAATTCAACCGTTCGGCGACGGGCTGCTGACCAGCAGTGTGATCCCGAAGCGGCAATACTAGTAATAATCGTTCGGCTGTAGCACCCTTTAAGTGTCTAGTTGCCATCCTACCAGAAGGAAACACGAGGGCTGAAATGCTGTCAGGTTGCTCAAACCTAGACAGGGAAAGTAGAGATGTGGGATTCGGGTGCGGACCACGGATAGTCAATAAATTCGCGCTCAAACCACTGAGCCACCTCGCTCCGTCGACGCAGCAACTAGAATACGGGAACTGCTTGTCAGCCGACTTGCTTAACGCAAGGCTCCGGTAATAGAATATCACCTTCGACTTCTGGAATCAACTTTCAACTCAGTTTCTGCCCCCCCCCCCCGATGGTAACGTGAAACATTTTGTACTCGAATTGAAAATTTTACCGAATCCCAGACAGTCTTCAAGTTCGAACCAACTAAAATCCTACATGAAACTCGGTTCACCATTTGTCGGATGAATTCTACAATTTATGGAAAAACTCCGGACAATCGTTCCCTGTTAGCGCAGCGCGAAATTCACATGAAAATATGATGTGACTTGGTTCCTAGGAAGCTTACCGCATTTGGGAGGAATGAATAGGCTATATGACTTGCTTTTTCTAGCATAGATGTCCTTAACAAGTGACAGTACACTGGAATGGTTCCGCAGGGCATCGACAACAACCCTGCCTCATTACCGTACAACCATACTAATTCAGTTCAGAACGAGGAGGGAAAAGAGAATCCACTGGCATCTCAAAACAGACAATCGAACTGAGAGCTGCACTTGCTACTGAGCGCTTGAGGTAGTCCTGGGTGTCACATAGACGCCATAAGGCCAATAGTTTGAGCAAGTGGCAACAAAGTTGACAGCTCCTTACGAAATGCTTGCCCGCAAACATCAGACTTCATCCACCATGATACAGACAATCCCCTTGAAAAACTGGCAGATGCGCTCGGGCACAGTAAAATAATAAAATTCCAGCACATACTTCATGTAGATACCAAAGGCCAGACCACGTTTGTTACCCGGAAGACTCAATGTGGCAAAGATGGGAATCGGCCTCGTAAAGGCTGCGTTGAGCACACCATCACGCTCTCTTGGACCCGCTTGCTCACTAGGAATGCACTGTCAATGTAATAAGCTCTCTGTATTCTCAAATATTCGGGTGTATAAAATTATGAGAGAGGCGACCCAAAACCTTCTACACAAAACGTGGTGTTCACGTGGATTTTCACCCCAGTCCTATTCAATTTCGTGCGTGATGAGAGAACGTGACGAACACTAGGTCTTCAAACCATGGTGTTCATACAGCTGTCGACGAAAATCTTGGTGATCTGGAATATGCAGACGAAATCATCCTCATCTTCGAAGTGGAGAAAAAGGAACGAGGGTTTTTCAGAGAACTGACCTTCGGTATGTGCCTCTCATCCACCAGGTGGAACGTCATGCTGCTGGACACGTAGTCACTGAACACGCGGCTTGCAATTCGAGAAAGTGAAGCAGTGAAGCATCGGTGTTGAACACTCATGCCATGCTGTCGATGATGAATTCGAGGAGAGGCGATCGAGGAGTGTAACGTACTTTGGAATTTGTGTAACCTCCCGTCGTAATGTGACAGATGAGGTCAGGCATTAATCTCTTAAGCTTATGCCGCGTTTGAAAATTTGAGGTTTCTACGGCAGCAAATCCCTGTATCTCCAGGGATATGTGTACCAGGTTGTAGTATGGACTATGTTTTTGTGCGACTGAGACGTGGCTTCGTGAAGGCTAGTGCCGTTGGATCCGCAAAGAAACACAGAATGCGTCCAGCACCAGAAGCTGCGACGGCTTAGCCACATATTGAGCATCAGTTTATTCCATCGGACATAAGTTGTGCCAAGTGTGTGTTGGATTTAGCTATCACAGTTTCGATCTTAAGAAAATGGGAGGACATAGGATATATAGTCAAGGGTTGACGCCTATGGTATAATCAGTTACTTCGAGAAACTGAGAAGTTACGTATTGAAAGCGATAGCTTTGACGCATGAGCGCCGCTGATTGGGTGGTTAGGCCGTGTTTGTCATTAACGATTGCTGAGTTGAGTCCCGGGACTCCCACACAGGAAGGCGGTCGTTGTAAACCAGACAATTAACTGGTTAGCGTTTTCATACTTCATTGCTACGTCATACACTATCCACCCTACGGTGGATTCCTCTCAGAAAATGGGTGGGCGAAAACACTTTCGCAAGGCACGCGACCTTATGGCTTACGAAACACGCTTTAAATAGCGGTACCTATGTAGCGTGAATAATCATCAATTGTGGGAGAGTCCCTTTGTCCCTAAAACCATCTGGCATACCTGAGCATGGCTAATCTGATTTTCGCACTAAACCCGGCGAGTGCTTCCGAAAAATCAAACGTCAAATACTAAATCTGATTAGACTGTGTTAGATAGGTCTCACTGTCACTACGGTTCAGTGAGAATCCTAGTGTCAACGTCATAGTCGTGTTACTAAAGCCAGTCAGACACGCTAGAAAAGAGGGTCGAGAACAATTCACGGAGTGAGCCGGTCGTCCGGCTTATGACTAACTCGGTGACAAATGAGTATACTGTTTGACTTTCTTACTCAGATCATGTACTGTGCTTGACCTCTTCACTGACCTTCTACTCTACCTTGATGTTGTGAAGCTAGTGCATAGTGATTCTACGAACCCGTCGTTAGGTAGCCCACTGTGTTCTGCTTCACACCCGGGCATAAGTTCGAGAAATAGACTGGGCACTTGTGTTATAATCTGACTCAGCAGCGAAATTGGAGTTAGTTTCCAATGAAACATTGGTCTATACAAGCATTGAAAAATTCGGTACTGGCTCGCCGGTTTAGTGAAGGTTAGATCATTTGACACTTAGAAGGTAACAACCACCACTGTAATTCAGTAAGTTTTCTAGCTCATCGGAAGCAAAACGGAAAGAACCATCATCAGTCAACCGTAACTTCACAAGCAGCGAGCTTAGTGACAGACAGCCAATGAGTCCGGACGATTCCTTCGACACACGCTTACGGTCTTTATTGTCGCTAGGATGTTCAAACGTCTCCTAGGACGGTTATGTGAAGAAATGTGCAAACGCCATCTCAGCTCACACTATCGGACCTCTTTGACGCACGTGGTCATATCGCAAAACCAATTTAGATATGATCCTCGGAATTTCGCACACTGGCCTTAGCTGTTGTACTGATCACGGGGTGAACCGTACACGCTAAGCCGAACTGGGGGACCAAAGCCGATTAGTCATAATCGCCCTTGAGATCGGCCTTTCATAGCGGCAAGGTGATGCCCGCAACCAAATGTCCCATAGAGCCGCCAATGGTTGTGTGATGCGCTTCAGGTCGATTCTAGTCTTAATCCGCGATATTCCTTTGGCCATAGGCACATCCGTGCTCTCAGAAAGCACCTCTTCATTCTTTGCTGTCATAACAAACCATCACTAGCGCGAATTTCACGCACTTCCCTAGATCTGAATAGCTCCAGTATTCTTGAGGCGAGCAACACTACTTCACGTTCCCTGGGTCATTCAGTGGACAGGCGTGGCTGGTGGGAGATAGGACTAACCTACCGATGTTCCGGGTACAGACCACAATGTATTTCAGAAAATCCCAGCCTGAATCTTCGAAAAAACCGTTCAGCTGTAGCACCCCTCCGGTGCCTAACTGCCGTACCATCTGGTGGCACGAGGGCTGGGATACTGTCAGGACGCTTAATCCTAGGCAGTGGAAGTCCTGAGGCAAGGTTCGTTTCGAACCACAGACCCTCCAGTCAGTAAATTAGCGCTCTAACAACTGAGCATGAACGCCTCATTCACGTTGACGGTTACGCAGAAAACTTACCGAGTCGGCCGGTCACATAGATCCGGAGAACAGCTGCGTCTAAGAAGAAGCCCAGTGACGGGCGGCTCAATGAGACCGCTGTTTCAACGTTTACCGTCGCAGGTTTCCGGGAGATTGCTTCTCCGATCTATTAACACTAATCAGTAAAATATTGACAAACGTCCTGGCGGTCTGATAAGCCAAATGACGACAGTGCGCGGTCTTGCGAAAATGGCACCAAGCTATTCAAGGGGGGCATGCCAGGAAGATACAACTGCGTTTTAACATGGCAGAGTAATGGACTATCATGCTAAGTGAGGCGAAAACCAGCCAGCAAAAATCATTCATCTGATGATCCACCACTACGCCAGCCATCAGAGGCAACCGAAGTATGGTATGAGAATCCTAATACGACCGTCCGTATGAACAAGCAATGACGTTTATCTTTTCCCGAACCGTTTGCCCAATATCAGAGAATCCCGTTTCACTGGAACATAGTACTATGCCTTCCCCAGAGTCTACCGGTTGTCAAGTAGCAATGCCCGTCTTACCTGAGATGAATAAAATTCCATTCAAGCAGTTTATTGACTTCTTAGTACAAACGATGAGGCTTGCCCATCGTACTTTTTATATACAACGAACGAACATTCTGCCAGTTTTTCTTCAGCAAGGAGACGAGGAAATTGATCGCCAAGTTGACGTTTTGGGCCAACTCTTCAGGCTTCATCTTCACGTGACCAACAGCAACATTTAGCGTCAGCACCTTCTTCATCTGGAACTTGATAGTCGCCCTAGCGTCCTCCACACGTTGCAACAAGGACTCATTGTGAGTCAATACCGCCGGGAACTTCCCAGCTTTGCTGAGGCCAGGACCCAGAATTCGGGGAATTTGACGAATGACTGACTCACTGGCTAGGAATGAGTGGTACCGTTTGGCTAAAGCAATATACACTTAAAGCAGTGGCACGTACCTAGTTTCTTGATGAGTTTTTTGTCCTTGTTGAGCTTCTTCAAATCCTCTACATCCATACACGGCACGTTTGCGGCTTTCGCTTCGTCGCAATGCTGTTGATCGCCAAGTACGCAGAGCTTCATCTTAGGTCTTGGGACGTGCCGCAACCTGAAGTTCGTTGAAAGGGAATTTAGCGGCTTATTGCCTCCCCACATTTTTTAATACCCTGGGTGGGGGTATCTCCGATAGCTTACTTCACTGTGCCTGAAAAGCGTTTATCCTTCTGTGGGTCGTAATTTTTCAGCATTATCTGCAACTCCACGGTCTCTAAGAACCGCCGCTTCTTCACATTATTGCTATAATCTAGCACATCTGTGCTGGTGCGCAGCAGTAGATCCCTCGGTACCTTGCTGAAGGCGAAAAACAAGCCGGTTAGTAAACGAAGATACAGGAGCGAAAGTCAATCGAGTTATGGTTATCAGAACTTCTTAGAGGAAAACAATCACGTTTCAAGGCGTAAATTACATCATGTACGGGGAAATTGCGTGCTCGCCAACAAATCATAAACGCACCTCATATTCGACCGGCAACGCCTCAACCGACAGTCCAATAACACCGGGAGTGAGTGATTAAAACGACGGGAGAAAATGGGCGCTGTTCGCATCTGACATGCTACCCACAATTCTAGTGATGGGCTCCAGTTATTCTTGTTCAGTTAACTTGTTATTTCTTATGCATAAAATGACAAATGGATCACATTCGACGAACACCAGGCTAATCCGCGCCTAGTTTGAATACACTGATGTCGGGCGTGGCACGTGCCGTGGGCTAGACGCACGCCGAAAATTTCTCTGAAACCGTGGTTCGAAGGAGGAAAACTTTAACATAAAGTTTTAACATTTGATGGTAATTTTTCGGGCGTATGAGATCTTCCCAAACGGC